CCTCGCCATGGGGCCCCCTCCCCCGCCCCGCAGTCACCCCACGAGTGCTGCCCCATCTCGCCCTTGCTCAGGAGCCGCCGCAGACAGCTGGCTCTGCTGCTTCCTTCACGTGAGGCCTTTGCCTGGGCCGTTGCATTTGCCAAAACAAGTGCGGCACCCGGGGCCTCAGGGACGAGGTGTGCAGCAGGGCACCGCAGCCAGGCCGGGTGTGAGGCCGAAGTCTCGCTCCCAGGACACCGAAGAGCACTGCGCAGGCCCAGCCAGGCCGTGTCCAGGCAGGACGGGCTCAGGCTGCCGCTGGCACCTCGGAGCAAAGCAGAAGCCAGGCAGACAGCCTGCCCGCGTGGCCCCTGATGGGTCACCTGTCCCTCAGCCTCAAGGCTGATGATGGCTCCTCCTCAGGACGGTCCTCCTCTCTGGCTCAGTGGATAGGACATCGGGCTGCCGACTGAAGGGTCGTGAGTTCAATTCCAGTCAAGGGCATGTACCTCGGTCACAGGCTCCTCCTGGTCAGGGCCATGCGGGAGGCAACCGATCGATGCGTCTCTCACGTGGCTGTTTCTCTGTCTCTCCCCCTCCCTTCCACTCTCTCTGACAGTCGAGGGGGAAATGCCCTCAGGTGAGGATTAACCACCACAAATGATCGTAGTCCTCATTCTGTGGAGGGGAGGGAGGGCATCGTGTCTCCGGCTCCCGTGGGCCTGCCTGGGGTGCGGAGGGAGAGGTGGGATTGGAAAACAGACCAGGTCCAACCCGGCTCTGCCCCCGCCAGTGGTGTGGTCCTGGGGGTCACTGAGCTTCCATTTCCTCCTCCGTAAAATGAGGGCCTGCACTCGCCATCTGTTCCTTGGAGTAAGTTGCTCCAGAACTTCATGACTTAAAGCAGTGATGGCGAACCTAGGACACGTGTGTCAGAGATGACACGTGAACTCATTTTTTTGGTTGATTTTTCTTTGTTAAATGGCATTTAAATATATAAAATAAATATCAAAAATATAAATCTTTGTTTTACTATGGTTGCACATATCAAAAAATTTCTATATGTGACACGGCACCAGAGTTAAGTTAGGGTTTTTCAAAATGTTGACGCGCCAAGCTCAAAAGGTTCCCCATCACTGACTTAAAGTCAATGATCGTGCGGTAGCTCCCATGGCTTGTGTGCACCAGGAATCCAGCAGTGGCCTGGCTGGGCACTTCTGCTCCTGGTCTCTCGCACGGCTGCAGTCTGAGGTCGGCCGGAGCTGCAGTCATCCGGAAGCTTGACGGGGGCTGGAGGACCCACTTCCAAGAAGACTCCCAGGCTGGGGCGGGAGGCCTCCCCACGGGCTGCTCCCGTGTCCTCACGCGGCAGCCGCCTCCCCCAGAGTGAGTGATCCAAGAGAGAATGAGCCAGGAGGAGGCCGCAGTGCCTTCTACACACACACACACACCCACACACACACACACACACACACACACACACGCACGCCGGGCCCCACACTCCTCCCCTTGCAGGTTGCTCAGGTCGCCGCATTGGGAGCGGGAAGGGACCGCGGAGGACATGAATATCTTGGAGACCACCTTCCCGGTGCCACACCTTGTCTGCTTCCCCAGCTGTGCAAGGGGACACCTCCCACCTCTCAGAGCTGCCAGGTGCTCCAGACAAGAGGGAACGAGGGGCTGCAGGCTAGGGGCCCAGCATGTGCCAACACTCCCCCACGGGCAGCCTCCGCTGCGCCCCCACCAGTGGCTCCAGGAAGAGCCAGAGGGACCAGCCCATCGAGGAGCCTGCTGACCCGACGGAGCCCTTCTCTCAATGAGTGGGAACAGTGACAGGCACTGCTCCCCGCCCTCCTTCTTCAGGTTTTAAACACCTAATTTATTCCATCCATTAGATAGATTTTGTAGATTTAATCATGTTCACAGTTGGTGGCTCATTGGATACTCAAGATAAACTCCAAATGAAAGTATAATGGTGAGGACAAATGAGTGTTCACACCACAATGGCAGAAACTTGCTCGGGAAGAGAGTTTAAGAGGCACAAAAATACATACAGATATAATTTTTTCCCCGGCAGCTGCTTTTGCTGACTATAGTAGGTTACCACAGTTAATTTCACCAGTTTTGTTCATCTGTAAAATTGCATAAAAGTGACATTTTTGTGCTCATTATAGCAACTGCTGATTTATGGCTGGAAAATGAAGAGCTGGTCCCTTTTTTGCGGGCCTCTCCGCGCGGTGCTAAGTGCCCATGAAATTGCTTGTATAATGTAGTTTAAATCCAATCCCTGAGAAAGATTCCCCCGTTGGCCAAAGTGACATTTCCATTCTCCACACCGAGTTTATTTTAGGCCGCTGAGGTGGGGGCTGCCCCAGGCAGGGGCAGGATGGGGGCCCCTGGCCGGTTCCACCTGCCCAGCCCAGGTCAGGCCCCATCCCTGCACCGAGGGGCAGAGTGGATGGCCTTCCTAATGCGCTGCCTGCCCGGCCCTCCTCTCCCTGCTTCACCTTCCCTGGCTGCCCAGGCCCTGAGGTAGGGCCTCTCCCCGCACTGCCGGCACTCGGGGCCCTCACAGCTCTTTGTTGGGGGCTGTGCTGTGCATCATGGATGTTCAGCAGCCCCTCTGCCCACTAGATGCCAGTAGCACCCCCTCACGTTGTGGCATCGAATGCAGCTCTAGACCTCGCCACATGCCCTGGGGGTAGGAACGCCTGAGAGCCGCAGCCTTCAGTGAAGAGCTCTCCATTCGGTTTGGCCGCGCCGGCCTGCCCAGACCTGAGGGCTTCTCTGCAGGCTGCTCCCAGCTGCTGCCCTCGGAATTATAGTTTCCCCCGGACATCTTCCCTTGTCACCCCTTTCACCATGGCCTTAACTGGGGCGCCCTGTCTTCCAAAAAGCCATCTCCGGAGCCCGGCCGGGTTGGCTCCCCAGTGTCCCCCACTGCCTGCCCTTCCCCCACAGCATGCATTTGCCCACATTGGCTGTGGGCCCCGGAGAGCGCCGTGGGTGAGGCTCTGGGAGGATGGGACGTCCGCAGCCACAGTGCCAGGCCCAACTGCGCACAAGCCCCGCCCCTTCCTCTCCGCAAGGCCCTGGCCCCAGGCACCCGGGAAGGAATGACCGCAGATGGAGAGCACCCGCTTCTGCTAACACTTCACTGCGAACGACTTGTTAAACCCTCACAGCCACTCTGGGAGTTGGTGCTAGCAGCACCCCCATTTTACAGATGTGGAAACTGAGGTTCCGGGTGGTGAAGGCCCCCTCCGGAGTCACTGGCGGGTCCTGGGGGTGCCCACAGGACAGGAAGGCAGTATGCCTCTGAAACCTTGTAGGGTCTTCCTCACCCAAGCGCCCAGACAGGTCCCGATCTCCCAGCACCTACTGTGCGCCTCACCTGCAGCTGGGCCCCTTGCTACAGTTGAGGTCACCCTGCAGACCTGGCATGATCATTACCCCCATCCCACAGGCCTCCCGTGTCACCTGCTCAGCGCTCACCTGTCCCCCCTGTCCCCCCAGGCGAGGCGGTGGCCAGCTCCATGCATTCCTCCCGCTACCCGAGCCCGGCCGAGCTCGATGCCTACGCTGAGAAGGTGGCCAACAGCCCGCTGTCCATCAAGATCTTCCCCACCACCATCCGAGTGCCGCAGCACAAGCACCTGGGCCGCACCATCAACGGCTACGACACGTGCAGCCAGCGCTACAGCCCCTACCCGCAGCACGCCGGCTACCAGGGCCTGCTGGCCGTCGTCAATGCCGTCTCC